CTATCTGGCCAGCTTGTTCCCGTTGAGTTAAGTTGACCTGCTAGACCTCTATCTGGCCAGCTCGTTTCCGTTGAGTTGAGTTAGGCTTAAGTCGGGCCTGTCCCCCTACAGGGGGGTTTTCGACGAAGATTTAGAGATACACCAAAAATCATAAATTATCCCGGCAAAGCAACCTAACAGCGATGTGTAGAAGCATATCTGAAAGCATTCCCCTTAAGATTCAGGTAAGAATCCAGCTGTAGAGTTCTGCTGTTCTTGCAATCGTAGTCGCATTCGCGATGACAGTCGCAGCGGCAACGGCAGTCGCAGTCACAGCCTCAGCCTCAGCCTGCCTCAGCCTCAGCCTCAGCCTGCCTCAGCCTCATCCTGCCTCAGCCTCAGCCTCAGCCTGCTTCAGCCTCAGCCTCAGTCTGCCTTCAGCCTCGGCCTCAGCCTCAGCCTGCCTCAGCCTCAGCCTGCCTCAGCCTCAGCCTGCCTCAGCCTCAGCCTCAGCCTGCCTCAGCCTCAGCCTCAGCCTGCTTCAGCCTCAGCCTGCCTCAGCCTCAGCCTCAGCCTGCCTCAGCCTCAGCCTCAGCCTGCTTCAGCCTCAGCCTGCCTCAGCCTCAGCATCAGCCTGCCTCGGCATTCAAAATGTGGCCCGGGAATGGAGTTCTGGGAACTCGAAGAGCACGAAGTGGCCTACAGTTGGCTCCGGGCATTCAAAATGTGGCCCGGGAATGGAGTTCTGGGAACTCGAAGAGCACGAATTGGCCTACAGTTGGCTCCGGGCATCCAAAATGTGGCCCGGGAATGGAGTTCTGGGAAATGGAAGAGCACGAAGTGTATGACTGTTGCATCCGGCCCTCCAGAATGTGGCCCGGGAATGGAGTTCTGGGAACTCGAAGAGCACGAAGTGTGTGACTGTTGCATCCGGCCCTCCAGAATGTGGCCCGGGAATGAAGTTCTGGGAACTCGAAGAGCACGAAGTGTGTGACTGTTGCATCCGGTTATTCAGAATGTGGCCTGGGAATGGGGTTCTGAGAGGTCGACGAGCACGAAGTGTGTGACTGTTGGTGAAAAACGAGCCCGGCACAGGCCCGGCCGGCAACTCCCAACGCCTGCCCGGACCCCCCTGTGAGTGATTTGTGAGCTCTTTTGAGTCAACTAGAAACCTATCAGTCTACGCTGTTAGGTAATAAATTATCTCCCGGCAAATCACCTACAGCGAGGTGTAGAAGCATATCTGAAAGCATTCCCTTAAGATTCAGATGAAAATCCAGTTGTCGAATTCTGCTGTTCTCGCAGTCGTAGTCGCATTCGCGATGACAGTCGCAGCGGCAACGGCAGTCGCAGTCACAGCCTCAGCCTCAGCCTGCCTCCTCCTCCTCCTCCTCCTCCTCTTTCTCCTGCTCCTCCTCCTCCTCCTCCTCCTCCTCCTCCTCTTCCTCCTGCTCGTCCTCGTTCTCGTCCTCCTCGTCTTGCTCGTCCTCCTCCTCCTGGTGCTCTCTCCTCCTCCTCCTCCTCCTCCTCCTCCTCCTCCTCCTCCTCCTCCTCCTCCTCCTCCTCCCCCGCCACCTCCACCTCCCCCGCCACCTCCACCTCCCCCCCCCTCCTCCTCCCATCCTCCTCCGTCTCCTCCTTCTCTTCCTCCTCCGCCCTCCTCCTCCTCCTGGTTCCTCACCTCCCCCCTCCTCCTCCTCCCCTCCTCCTCCTTCCTCTTCCTGGTACGTCCTCGTTCTCGTCCTCCTCGTATTGCTCGTCCTCCTCCTCCTGGTGTTCTCTCCTCCTCCTCCTCCTCCTCCTCCTCCTCCTCCTCCTCCTCCTCCTCCTCCTCCTCCTGGTGGTCCTCGTTCTCCTCCTCCTGGTACTCTCCCCCCCCCTCCTCCTCCTCCTCCTCGTCCTCGTCCTCCTCCTCCTCCTCCTCCTCTTCCTCCTCCTCCTCCTCCTCCTCCTCCTCCTCCTCCTCCTCCTCCTGGTACTCCTCCCCCTCCCCTCCTCCTCCTCCTCCTCTTCCTGGTCGTCCTCCTTCTCCTGGTCGTCCTCCTCCTCCTGCTCGTCCTCCTCCTCCTGCTCGTCCTCCTCCTCCTCCTGCTCGTCCTTCTTCTCCTGCTCCTCCTGCTCCTCGTCCTGCTCCTGCTCGTCCTCGTCCTCCTGGTCTTGCTCGTCCTCCTCCTCGTCGTGCTCTTGCCCCTGCTGAAAATGTGGCCCAGGAATGGGAGTTCTGGGAAGTCGAAGAGCACGAAGTTGCCTACAGTTGGCTACGGGCATTCAAAATGTGGCCCGGGAATGGAGTTCTGGGAACTCGAAGAGCACGAAGTGGCCTACAGTTGGCTCCGGGCATTCAAAATGTGGCCCGGGAATGGAGTTCTGGGAACTCGAAGAGCACGAAGTGGCCTACAGTTGGCTCCGGGCATCCAAAATGTGGCCCGGGAATGGAATTCTGGGAACTCGAAGAGCACGAAGTGTGTGACTGTTGCATCCGGCCCTCCAGAATGTGGCCCGGGAATGGCGTTCTGGGATCTCGAAGAGCACGAAGTGTGTGACTGTTGCATCCGGGTATTGAGAATGTGGCCTGGGAATGGAGTTCTGGGAAGTCGAAGAGCACGAAGTGTGTGACTGTTGCATCCGGGTATTGAGAATGTGGCCTGGGAATGGAGTTCTGGGAAGTCGAAGAGCACGAAGTGTGTGACTGTTGGTGAAAAACGAGCCCGGCACCTGCCGCCCGGCAACTCCCAACACCTGCCCGGACCCCCCTGTGGAGTGATCTGCTGCTCTCTTTTGATCCCACTAGAAACCTATCAGTCTTCGCTGTTAGGTAAATAGTCCAAACATAGTCTGGGGACTATTTTTGGACCCTCTTGGGGTATTTTTGGGGTATTTTCTAAGTTTCGTAGAAAAATCCCTCTGTAGGGGGACACGCCCTGCAGAACCAAAAACCAGAAAAACCCGAGACATAACCCAAAAACCTGTAGAAACCCGAGGGAAAACCCGAAAACGGCCATGAACACTCCTTCCCCCGGCCGACCCCCCTCCCCTGGAGCTTCTCCCTGTACGGCTTCGCCCACACCAGAACGTCATCACTCGTACCTCGCTCTTTCCGTTACTTCTACCTGGCCAGCTCGTCTCCGTTGAGTTGAGTTAGGCTTAAGTCGGGCCTGTCCCCCGACAGGGGGATGTTCGACGAAAAATTAGAAAATACCTAGAAAATAATCAAAAATAGTCCAAACATAGTATGGGGACTGTTTTTGGTCCTTATTGGGGCATTTTTTTGTGTATGTTTTAGCGTTCGTCGAACAATCCCCCTGTAGGGGGACACGCCCGACATGGAGTTCGGCGCAGCAGCTCGACCACCTGCGTGGGGCGCCAGGGGCCCGAGGCTCTCCGGTCTCCCGCGCTGGTGCGCCGGAGTTGCGCGCGCGCCCCTCGGGCCGCGCGCGTTCCTCGAGGTCCCGCAAGTTTTTTCTGGTCTCGGGGGCGGAAAAGAGCTGCGCAGAGGTCGCCACTTTTCGTGGGCTCCCTGGAGGCACGGCGGAGCAGCGGAGTACCCGAGACCTCGAAGCACCCCGGGGAGTGCGCATCCAGCAGAGACTTCGGGGGCGGCAAAGAGGGGGGTGATGACTAAGGGGGGGTGGATATCCTGGCGGGGGCCATGATATTTCCCCAGATTTCATGGCGCCTCTTCTTGTTTCATTGCGTCCCTGGCCCCCCCCTGGGCCGCGCACGTGCCGCCGGTCATGATTTGCACCCCCCCCTCTTGGACCCCCCCCTCTTGGCCGCTCCCGATGGTCGGGGGTGGGCAGACCTCCTATCAGGAGGGACAAAACACACACATATACAGTTCATCGTCGATTCCCAAGAAAGGATGGGAAGATATGGGGATTGGGGGGGCGACAACGCCCCAGAAGATATGGGGAAATCTGGGGAATCCTTTTTCATTTGTGTGTGTTTATTTGTGTGTCCCAGGGCCCCTTCATCCTACCCCGACGCGTCGATCCAGAGGGCGTCGCGGCCGTCATTTTTGCGGGTCCAGGTCCGTCGGTTTCGGTCCCAGGCCGTTTTCACCACGGGGAGGTCTACTAAAGGGAGGCTTGTCCACCGCCGATTCTGGTCGAGACGAAGTGTGGTGTCAAAGATATCGTATTTTGACACGCTCGAGTGCTTCAAGTGTTCTCAGAACTGCCGCGAACATGGTTCAGAGAAAATGGAGTTCCTTTTGATGGCGCTCTGTGCGTTTGGTCAAAAGGTGCCTTTGGCCAGCCGTGCCAGTGGGCCCTTCTCGAGAGGGACAGAGCGCACCGGCGGCACGGCCGCCGCTGGTAGCCCGTCGGAGTGCCCCTGCGATGTCTTGGCAGCAGGCCTGTCTTCTTCCTCGGCGGCATCGGCGCCCACACCGACACGCGAGCACCGTGTGTGGGCCGCCCTCCCCCCCCCTGGAGCGACGCGCGCGCCGAGAGCTCTTGCAGCAGAGGTTCCCTGGCGGGCGCTCTCTGGACGTACCGCTCGGGAAATGACACGCCACCGCATCCAAGGATCCGATCGTCCTGCTCCCGTTTGGCTTCTCTCGCTCGCCACGGTAATGTTCGTGTGTGTGTGTGTGTGTGTGTGTGTGTGTGTGCGTGCGTGCGTGCGTGCGTGCGTGCGTGCGTGCGTGCGTGCGTGCGTGTGTGTGTGTGTGTGCGTGTGTGTGAGTGTGAGTGTGTGTGTGTGTGTGTGTGTGCGTGTCTTGACTTGCTGTCCGTGTGTCTGCGGGGCACTCTGCTTGTTTTGGATGAGGGGCGCGCGCCTCCGAGAATGGCACACGTCGCACCGGCGCGTCCTCCCGCACCCCACGGCAGCACACACGGATGGCCTCCCCACGGCGGCGCGCCGTCGCGACTGCCCTTGCCCCTCCTCCTCCTCCTCCTCCTCCTCCTCCTCCTCCTCCTCCTCCTCCTCCTCCTCCCCCTCCCCCTCTCCCTCCTCCTCCTCCCCCTCCTCCTCCTCCGCCTCCTCCTCCTCCGCGGAGCGGCCCGCGCGGCGAGGCCGGCCTCTGGACAGCGCGCGCGAGGCCGGAGAGCCCTGCCCCCTTCGACGGGAGCAAGGCCCCGGCGCGCTGGGCCGCCCACGCGCAGAGGGGGGGGTATGTCGGGGGCGGATAAGATCGCAGACGTCCGGAAAACACGCGTCTGCTTCCATGCAGTTGATCGTAGGTCCCCCGCGAGGGCCATTTGCGAGCAGTTACTCTGCGAGTAGTGGAGCGCGCTCCTCTCTATATATATATATATATAGTTTTGACGTAAGGCCGGCGCGCCTCCCGAGAAGCAGCCTTCGTCTAAGGAGCCTTCCCCCCTCCCCCCGCCCCTCTGTGCGCGCCGCCGACGGGGACTCGGGAGCTCAGAGGAGGCTCAGGGTTCAGGAGGGAAAGAGACACACAGACACAATGAATCGTCGGCTCCCAGGAAAATATGGGAAAATATGGGAATTGGGGGGGAAGACAGAAACCCAGAAAATATGGGAAAGCATGGGGAGTCTTTTTATTTGTGTGTATTTATTTGTGTGTCCTTGTGCCCCTTGAGATCTTTGCCCCTCGCTGCGTGCCCCGGGACCCACCACAGGTCGGTCCGGCATCGAACAAAATGCCGCAGGGAGATTGGGGTCCAGGGCTCCAGTCGCGACTCGTTTCGCGAGGTGGCCGTACAAACCGGTCGTTGAACGTAGGTATTCTTGGATGCCCAAATCCTAATCTGCTTTGGGCGCCTTCCTGCTTCGAGAGTCGAGCGGTTTTCCTTCCGTCCTCCTCTTCGGGGGGCGGGCGGAGGCCCAGTCTACTGCCAACGCCTTCCTGCTTCATGTTTTTACCTGCCTCTTCCGACCGGCGTGTATTTGCGCAGCGTCGGATTCCAGGGTACTCCCGATTTCGCAATAAAGGGAGGGGGGTCTCATTTCGGGGGGGGTCTCTTCCAGGCCATCTTGGAGGGCCTGGGGGGGTCTGGGGACGACGTTTTGGAGGGTTCTCCCAGGGGGGGGGTCTAAAACTTCTCGTCTGGGAGGGTTGAGACCCCCTCCCTTTTATTACGAAATCTGGAGTATTTCAACACGTGCCAAGTTTCTCGCGGCCTTCGGCCTGCCTGGGGGCCCTGGTCGGGCCCGGGGGCCGCCCGTAGAACAGGCCTGCGGGAGGGAAAAGCCTCGGCCTGGGGCATCGAAGGAGGAAGCACGGAGGTCCGCGCTGACTTCTTTCAGGAGGGGAAAAAACACACAGACACAATGAATCGTCGATTCCCAGGAACATATTGGAAAATATGGGAAGTGGTGGGGAAGACAGAAAACCAGAAAATGCGGGGAAATATGGGGAATCTTTTTATTTGTGTGTATTTATTTGTGTGTCCTGGGGCCCCTTCATTATTGGATCGGCGCCGGACACTCCGCCCTGTCCGAAAATGGATGTTCATGTTTATGTTTTTCTATACCAGCTGGGTGCGCCTGCGCCACATCTGACATCCTACCCTGCTCACCTCTCCTCCTTCTCGCTGCGCCGAGTTCTTTTCTGTCCGCCAGCAGGGATGTCTTAGATGGTCCTGGCCCACCATATTCATGTGCTTACGTCGCGCCGCCGACCCCTTGGGGTTCTTCGGCGGCTCTGGCGAGAAATGGCGCGGAGTGACCGCCGCGTCGCCACCGCCGGGGACATCAAGCGGAGCCCTCGTCGTGGTCGTGGTCGTCGTCGTGGTCGTCGTCGTCGTCGTCGTCGTCGTCGTCGTCGTCGTCGTGGTCGCGGTCGCGGTCGTGGTCGTGGTCGTGGTCGTGGTCGTGGTCGTCGTCGTCGTCGTCGTCGTCGTCGTCGTCGTCGTCGTCGTCATTGCCTCCGTCGTCGTCGACGTCGTCGTTTTCGTCGTGGTTGAATTCGTCGTCGTCCCGTGCTACCCGCGGCTGCCTTGGTTGAGTGGTTGTTTGTTGACGCTCCTTGCCTCCCTCAGCAGCGCACGCGTCGTGGGTGTCTGCGCGCCTACAGTAACGCTCACACGGCGGGCAGCGAGAGGCAACTACTCTACCGGGGCGGCCCCGGGCACGCACGACGTAATACAGGCACCGCAGGCAACGACAGGCAACCACTGAATCAGGACGCTGCACGATCCGAACCAGGGCAGCTCGCCGGGTGTTTGTTCTTCCTCGCCGTCCTGTGGCGTTGGATGCTTGTTCTGAATCCACGGCGCCCCTCGCCCTCCCAACTCCCACCTCCTCCCCTCTCCTCCTCCCACTCCTCTCTCCTCCCTCCCCACTTCTCGTTCCGGCCCACCCCTCACACGTTTCGTGGCCTCATAAAGGGGGGCCCCAACCAAGGCCCGAACACCAAAGCTCACATGTGTTCCCGCCTCCCCTCTTGGCGCGCCTCTCACACGTTTCGCGGCCCCGCTGGGAGTCCCAACTGAGGCCCCGATGCCAAAGCTCTTGCTGGGCTCCCGCGCCCTCCCGCTCCGGCGCACCCCGCGGTGGTGTACCCCGCGCACGTGGCGCTCGCCTTCCTCTTGACGGTGACCCCTTTTGGACTTCGGGGGGTCGCGAGTCCTTCTTGGGGCCTCCCCCCGCTCCGCCCTTTCTCTAGGGGAGCAAAAGGTGACATAAACATAAAAACTCGGAGCTCCGCGCGGATTTCTCGGATCGCCGCTGGGGCCCCCCGGCAGCGCCTCCGACGCCGCCCCCTGGCGCGCTCCGCGCGCCAGGGAGGGGGGTCCAGCGCCGATCCGAGAAATCCGCGCGGACCTCCGAGTTTTTATGTTTATGTGATTTTTTGTTCCCCTCTTCTCGCCCCCATCTCTCCGACTCCGGCTTTCCCGACCCCGGCTCCCAAAGTCCGACTCCAGTTTCTGAGCGGCAGGCCCATTCCGGCGCCCCGGCGCCCTCCCGCCGCACCCTCGTAGGTGCCTTGACGCGGGCTCTTGCCTCTTGCCTCTTGCTATTCTCGCCCCCCCCATGCTGTTGCCTCTTCTGCGGGCAGGGCGGAGGGCCGAAGCATCTGTGCTTGCGGCGATCGGGGGGCAGAGGGGCGCGCGCCCCTCGCGTGCGGACACCGCCTCGCGGCCGTCGTCGTCGTCGTCGTCGTCGTCGTCGTCGTCGCCGTCGTCGTTGAATCTTCATTTCTCAAGAATATCATTGAATCATTGTTGATCTCCGGAAACGGTTCCGCGCGCTCTCACCTCGACGTTGGCTACATTTTCTCTGAGAACGAGGCTCCCGCTCGAGCGCTGGTTTGAGCCTAAATGTGGGCCCTTGGAGGCCCAGCTACGACACCAACGGCTCCCGCTCAATACTTCCTCACAATTTACCCCGAGGCACCCTGGCCAGAGAGGCCCCCGAACTCAGGAACAGCGCTCTCGCTCGAGTTTTTTTCGCAATTCGATGGGGTAGGCGGAGGCCCAGCCACGACGACAAGGGCTCCTGCTCGATACCTCCTCACGATTCACTCCGAGAGCCCCTGGCCAAGAAGGCCCCCGAAATCAGGAACGGCGCTCTCGCTCGAGAGTTTCCCGTAATTCAGGCAAGTTGGTGGAGGCCCGGACACGGCGACAAGGGCTCCCGTTCGATACTTCTCCATAGGTATTCCGAGAGCCCCTGGCCAGAGTGGCCCCCGAACTCAGGAATGGCGCTCTCGCTCGAGATTTCTTCGCACTTCAGTCAGTGGCCGACAAAGAAGAGATTCCCTCGAAAAGGGGGTGCACTCGAAGACGAAGTGGGCGGGTATCGAGGGTTGGGGTATACGGAATGCAAGACACGCGTGCTAGTGAGAGCGAACAGTCTTTCAAAGGATCGTTGTCGTTGTCGTTGTTGTTGTTGTTGTTGTTGTTGTTGTTGTTGTTGTTGTTGTTGTTGTTGTTGTTGTTGTTGTTGTTGTTGTTGTTGTTGTTGTTGTTGTTGTTGTTGTTGTCATTGTCGCCAAGCGGCCAATAACTTGTCGTGCCATCCCTGCCGCCGCGCTTGGGCGCAAGCTCCGCATGGGAACCTGGCCGCCTCCACAGGCAGGGCCCGAGACCACCCGCAAGGGGAAGGGCCTGCGGCCGGGTGGCTGGACCTGCCCCGATCGGGCACCCCTCCCACGTTTCTCGGCCCCGCAGGGAGCCCCAGCTGAGGCGCAGCTGCCCAGAGTTCCCCTGCGTTCCCGCCCATCATTTCGGTGCACCCTCGCACGCTTCGCGGCCCCGCATGGGGGCCCTTTCAACCAGGGCCCACCTGCCAGAGCTTAGGAACCCCATCAGCAGGGGCCTCGTTTCAGGCCCACATGCCAAAGTTCTTATGGGTTCCCGCCGCTCACGTCGGCACGCCCGTCGCGCGCTTCGTGGCCCCATCACAAAGGGGGCCCAACTAAGGCCCACATGCCAGGTTCGCATGGGTTCCCGCCCCTCGGTTCGATACACCCCGCACGCGTTTCGTGGCCTAAAAGGAGGCCCGGATTAAGACCCACATTCCACAACTCACATGAGTTCCCGTTTCTCATGTCGGCATGCTTCCACACGCGTTGCGTGGTCACACAGGGAGTCACCCGCTACGGCTCCAATGTCACAGTTCACTTGAACTCCCGCCTCCCGTATCGGCGCGCCACTTCCGAGTGTCGCAGCGCCATATAGGGGCCCTGACTACGGCCCGTCTTCCCAAGTTTGCATCGAGTTCCTGCTCATCTGCACGCCCCTCGCGCGCTTCGTGGCGCCGTGGGGGTCCCAACTGAGGCTCCAATGCCAACGTTCACATCCTGTTCCCGCCTCTCCTTTCCAGCGTACCCTTCGCACGTTTTGTGGCCCCTTGGGGTGCCCCAGCTGCGTTCCAACTGCCACAGTTCACGTTGAGTTTCCGCCTCTTCTTTCGGCGCACCCCTCGCGCGTTTCGTGGCGCTACACGGGGGGCGCAGCTAAGGCCCAAATGCCAACGTTCAAATGTGTCCCGCCTCACATTTCGGCGTGCCCCCCCGCGCGCATCGCGGTCCCAGCAAAGCCTCACATTTCAAAGTTCACATCCCCTCATTTCGGCGCACCCATCGCGCGTTTCGTGGCCC